TCATTCGCCGTCTTTTCCTCCCGACTGCTTCCTCCCTTCGGCCCCTCTTTTAGAGCAGTGCTGCAGAGATGTCAGAAAGGATAATTCCCCCCAGGAAAGAGAACTGCTGTGAATTATTGGTAGTGTTGGCTTTCTGGTGGTTTAGCTTCACCTCTTCGTTTCAGTCAAGGACATTAGCTAGATGGCGTTTTTCTATCACACTAGGAGCTCGCTTGTCCACTTTCTACAGGCAATACCGACTTGAGCTACAGAGGAGACGGGGCTGCTGGTTTCTGCTTCCTCACACAATGAATCCTTCACACATTCCACTCTCTATGACTTTGCTTAGTGGTAGGCTAATGGGGCAGGCTTCAAACTGAGTTTCTCAGAGCCCATGGGATGCTCTTGAGATGCTTGAGGCCAGTGAACCCTGTGGTGGGTGGTATTTCCATATATACCCACACATGAGTTCTTCTCTTGTATCAGAGAAAAACACTGTACCAAGAGCATAAAGTTCTTATTTAAAATGTTGGAAAAAGAGATAATGTCTGTCAAAGGCTTAAAAATCCTGAATTAACACAACAAATGCCCGAGTGAGGGTTTGTCTATCTGTCGAGACACCAAGGGAAATGCCCCAGGACTTTTATATGTCAGCGTTAACAGTCAGGCACGGTTCTCTGCAGAGGGCAGCGAGCCTGTGACTGGGCGTGCAGGGTGAACTTGCTACTCCTGCTGTGCTCTAAGAATTCTCTGGACACGGAGCAAAGCCGGTCACTGTGTTTATTTCTATCCTCTATAAACTTGGTCACAAGAAACACTGGAAAATTGGAGGAGCTGTTAAAAATAAATGAAGCAATTGCAATGAGTTATCATGATCCACAGGCTGAGAGGTGGGTCATTCCTCAGATCCCAAGGCCCCCAGCACTTTTCAAGATGACTGTACCCATTACTTGTGCTATTTCATAGGAGAATCCCACAGGCAAACTTTTTTAAAGCAACTTTTAAAAAGTATTTTAAAAATAAGTTTTTTGCTTCTTTGCTATAAAATCAAAGTTGAGTTCGTACTCAGGGTTTCTGCTCGCATGTAATGGTGTAGGACCTAGAATGCCCTCCTAGAAGCCAAGGTCATGGGAGCCGTAGACCTGAAGAAGGTATACAGGTGACAAAGACTCATTCTTCCAATATGTTATTACCTAGTAATGACATCATTATTTAATAATAAGACTGAGCCTGTCTCAGAACTTGCATGTTAGTGTCAGGGAGGCATATGAAAAACACACAAGCAATCACATAAATACAGCAATTTACAAATGTCATTGCCATGACACACAGTGGAGACAGGGCCCCTTCATGCCAACCCTGAGAGATCAGTAACCTAAGTCCATTTTCAAAGGCACAACTGGATGCTTTCCATGCCAAGGCCATGAATGTGTGGCACTTACTGTATCTGATGGTTAAATATGTACCATCTGCCACAAGAATTATAGAGAATGTCATGGAAACTCCAAGAGGCCCAATGGTTGATGATTGCCTGAATGATAATACACACACACACACACACACACACACACGCACGCACACACGCACGCACGCATGCACGTGAGCGCACACACACACAAATAAAATAATAATAATGATAATAATAATAAAACAGCACTGCTAATTTATTAAACAAAGAGATCTTTCCTTGGTCATTCGATATTCAGCAGCCCTGTGTTTTATTTATTCATAATGCAAAGATGGCTTGAAGGTGCTTGGAAATCATTCATGCAAGATCATTGTGGTTTTTCCCTTCCATAAAAATTCTTTTCACAACATGTATAATCCCATCAAATATGGAAGAAATACATTCATAATGAAACCTCTTCTGTTGCTGCTGTGTCTTTGTTAAAGCCAATATGATTTTGGTAATAAAATAAAAAGCCTCACAAAAATTAGTTTCATTTTTTTAAAACTCTACATAAGACACTTAGAAACACATTTAAAATACATTGTAGTGAAAAGAGGCACATGCCTATCAAGTAATGACTTGTGTCAACAGGATTTTCCAATTTGCACTATTATTTTTATTACTTGTATTTTGAACTTTCTAACAATCCTATCAAAGGGTAACATTTCTTAAATAAAAATGTCTAAAATACATGTATAAGTGAATTCACTTAGATTTATAGCAGTAGCATTAGACTTCAGTTTCTCTCAGGTGTATAGGATCCATCCGTCCATTCAATGATCCAGTCAACATTTGTAGAGTCTACTGCACTCTATAAATGGGTAAAGTCTGAAGGCACCAGAGCGAAGGATCCTCGCCGTGTTGTCCACTCATCTGGGGATGCTGCCCTTGCCCCTTTCTTTCTCTGCACAGTTACTGCAGCCATGCTCTAGAATGCAGTGAGCGGGGAGTGTGGCAAAGGAGCCCAGCATACGGAGCAACTTGAAATTATTCAGTCAGTGTAGAAATAACTGACAAATCAGAAAAACATCACACACGGATGGTTCATAGGTAAATCAGAGGAAACCAATGAAAACAAGAAATGTTACACCCCAGCAAAACTCAGCAAGACACCAGCTACAGCTTTAGAGCTCGCTAGAAGCTCCACCTACAAGATTAAAATATTACTCAAAATAGCAAGAAAGGTCAAGCTTAACTAAGTAGGAATTTATTGAGAGGTGCAGAGAACCTGAGCTAAGCAAACTGCAAACTCTGAGTGAGGCGCTTAAAGATGTGAACAAAAGTAGTAAAATTTTTACTCTTTTTTTTTAAAAAAATAATTTATTTTTATCTGCATTGATATTTTGCCTGCATGTGTGTCTGTGTGAGGGTGTCAGATCTTGGAGTTACGGACAGTTGTTAGCTAGCTGCATGTGGGTGCTGGAAATCCTCTGGAAGAGCAGTCAGTATGTTCTTAACCACTGAGACATCTTTCCAGCCCGGAAGTTTTCCTCTTGATAAGATTGCTACTCAAACACACTTTGATTTGAACAGGTAGTTCCCCTCAGCCCCCAGAATCATGTTTTAAAATTCAGATCTCTAGCTAGTGGCCCTATGTTGGGAAATTATGGAAACTTTAGGATTAATTTACAGCCTACCTAAAGGAAGTAGATTCCTGGTATGGGTCCTTCTTCAGGAACATCTTGTCCTTAGCTCCTTTCTGTCACTCTCACTGCTTTTTGTCCATAATGTGGCAAAGAAGCTCCATGCTTCTGACACCATGATGTTCTGCCCAAGTGTATGGGACCACAAGACCCTGGACTGAACCCTCTGAGATCATGATCTGCCCAAGTATATGGGACCATGAGAGCTTGGACTGAAACCTCTGAAATCATGAACCAAAATAATTCTTTCCTCTTTTAAGTTGTTTCTATAAAATATTTTGTCACAAGTAACTAATACAGAATGTGAGTTTTCTCCCAATGGGTGTAATATTTAAAAGGGAATGTGACCGGAATAGTTAAAATTATGCTATGATCTAGAAGACTATATATTACAACATTCAAAAGTAAAGTTACTGAAGGAGATAGGGACGTGGCTGAATTAAAATGTGCTCTAAAGTTATTGTGTTAACTTTATTATTATTTATTATTGTGACTTAGAGAGCAGAGATCTCAGTGCAGCCAAACAGAATGTCTAGGAAATCATCAGGAGCATGTGCGAGTCTTGAATGTGCTGGGAACTGCGTTTCAAGTGTGTGGGCAAAGTTAAGCTATTCAGTACAAAGTACTGGAGAACATGTCTAACCATGAAAAAGTAGGAGATGTGGTGATGCTATGTATATATGCATACATTTATACATATGTGGATATTATGTAGATGTGGAATGTATGGGAATATGGTAACTAACATACGTTTATATGAAATTTTATGACTAGTTTGTTTTTTCCAAGAGCTCATAGATCATTTTTATAAGTTGCCTTGGCCATGATGTTTAATCACAGCAAGAGAAATGTAACTAAGGATATGAAATTTTCACTTTTAAGATTTTAATTAGATGAAGAAAAGAAATGAAATCTGTAACTATTGATGATCTAGCCTATGGGGTGGGGAAGCAAAATTGACCTCACCCAGCAAAAGTCACAAGTAAGAGCCAATTTGAGTCATTGGAATTCTTTTCCTTGGTTAAAAGTTGTTTTCAGACAATCGGTTTTGTCCAGAAAATAGTTTTCAGTCCAAGCCTTAATGTAGTGTGAGATTCCGCTGCACATCACCATACAGTGGTGGTTTCACAGCAAGGAGCACCGTCAGGACCGTGAGGGACCATTCTCTGTAACAGCTGGGCTCAGGCCATCACTGTCTCTAACAGCCTCATTCTTATGGGGGCGGGCGAGTCTCAGTTGGTAAAGTGCTTGCCTGCAGGCATGAGGACTTGAGCTTCATCCCTAGAGCCCACGTGAGGAAAATGCTGATCATGGTGTTCATGCTGGCAACCCCAGGGCTGCAGAGGCAGAGACTGGGCCCACTGGCCAGCAGAACCTACCTGGGAAATTCCACGCCTCTTACAGACCGTGTCTTAAGAAAAATAAAGTGTATGGCACCTGAGGATCAATACTCAGTTGTTCTCCAGTCTCCACACGTACGCACACACACACACAATGCACACACGTATGTGCATACACACACACATGTACATATGGGTTTACCATATACTTGGTAATGAAAAGAATGGTGAATTAATTGCTTTGACTACTAACCACTTTGTAAAAATATTTTGAAACTTAAAAAAGCTAAATAATAATGGCCTTGCAGTGTTTCTTTTAGGACAGGGATAACGATCTTACTATGAAGTAAGTTGCTTAAATTATTACCTTTTCTTTACCCATGTGTAACTGTATATTGTATTTTGTAGTATGCTTAGAACAGCATATACAAAGTAAGCAATTTATTTATTTTAATTAGCATTATGTATGCAGGATAACACCCTTCGTTGTGACATTATGTGCAAATGTGAACTCCCCTTATTAGTTCTCACGGGGTCTGCTAGTGTGTGTGCTGTGCATGCTCATTTCTGCTTGTTTCTGTTTTGCAGGAAGGCCTGGCTGAGCAAGGTTGGGAGCCCTAGTTCTCGCATCGACCGGGCAGACTTTTCTAATGAAAAAACCATCTCTAAACTAGACTACTCTAACTTTAGTATTCATTATTAATGAAAGCAAAATAACAATTGTAATGCCTACATTGCAGAAGATAAAACATATTCTTAAATTTGTAGTAGTAGGATTAAAAATGGGAACTTTCTGTTCTGGAAACCTCAGAATTATATGTTACTAAAATGTCTGAAATTGAAAAAAATGTTACCCACCTTTGTTTTTAGCAAGCAGAAGCCAAGTATAAAATAAAATGTTGCTGTAAAATATCTGCTGTGAAGATTCAAGCAAAACCTTGTCTTACGGAGGGAGTCACTAATTTCAGAAAACATTGTAGTGTGTACATGTTATTCAGCTAGACGTAAAATAAAGTTAACTATCTAAAATTATCCTTAAATATTGTTGCCTAATAAGGTGAATTTTAATGTTATCTGAAAATAATTTACTACTAAAGTTGAATAATCTGTATTGTTATTGAAGTCTTAGAATGGCTAAAATAAATTTGTGTGATGATCACTGTAACGAGAAAGTAACAGCAATAAAGAGTTAGTGTGTAAAATTCTTGTGAAATCCAGGCCTGATTCGGGACTGAGCTGGAGCTCCTTGGCATGTTCAACCTCACTGTTCAGTGGAGTGGAGAGGCAGGCTAGGTGACAACCGCTAGAAGACCCTGCTTCCGTCTAGGAAGCTTCAAGATTCATATCTGCTTCCTTCAGCTGCAATCCTTTGACTAAAAACACTGAAAGTCTAAATAAATCACCTAAACTTGGACTATCATTTGAGGTCTTCAAATGATAATCAGCCAACATAATATTTGAAGGAGGGGGTTAGTTTATATACCATGGAATTATAATATTGAATAGGAAAGACATTTAATAGAAAATAGTATTTCAAATGTACATATAATACATATGTTCTTCAGTGATTTCTTTATTGGTTTTTGGAGATTGGGTTTCTCTGTGTTGCTCTAGCTGTCCTGGAACTTGCTCTATAGACCAAGTTGGCCTCAAACTCAGAGAGCCACCTGCCTCTGCCTCTCAAGTGCCGGGATTAAAGATGTGTGCCACCATTACAATTTTGTTTCTTTTTATTGTGTGTGCATGTTCATTTGTATGTGAATGCAGAAATGCATTTACCGGGATGTGTGTAGAGGTCAGGTGACACCTTTTCATAAGTCATTTCTCTCCTTCTACCTCGTATGTGGGTCCTAACCCGCCAGGATTGCGTAACAAGCACCTTTATCACTGTGATCCTGATTTTCACCTATGTATAATGGAAGCTTCCATTAAAACACAACTTTATGTAGAATTGAACACATAAACAAAGTTGGTTGCTGTGTTTTATTGCTGTGGTGGTTGTTTAGCGCAGCAGGTGTGATCGAATCGGAGTGGAGGGGCCCCTCACGCTTGGCCTCTCCTTCCTTAACTTTTGGTCTGTTTCAAATCCGTGGGAATGCAGGCTGGAAACGACCATGCTATCCATGTGTCAGATGCCACTGCTCTCTGTAGTCTAAGGCACGGCCTTTGCCTCTAAGTCTGTATCCAGGCCTCTCCTCTACCTGCTGCAGGGTGAGAACTGAGAGACGGGAGCAGAGGGGGATGTCCGTCAGCTTGAAAAATTCACCCCATGGATTATAATAACATAACATATCATATGTACATAAGACAGTGCAGTGGTGGGGAATGACCTTCCAGATAACCAACAAGAAAAGGAATGTTCCTATTATTTGAGACTATCATGATGACAAGCAGTATATTTATTGAGTAGTATAATTTTATTCTGTTCTATTTCCCTATTCTATGTTAAGGAAAGAAAACGTGATTTTGTGTTCCCTTTCTTTGGGGAGGGTTTTGATGCCAGGTGCATCTGAAGACTTTTCTTCTAAGGTTTCATTTTAAGAGAGCATCATGGGTGGTGACACATGGCTTTAATCCCAGCACTCAGGAGGCAGATCTCTGAGTTCGAGGCCAGCCCCAACTGTAGAGTGAGTTCCAGTACAGCCAGGGCTACACAGTGAAACCCTGTCTTGAAAAACAGAATTGTGAGAAAGAGAGGGGGGGGGGATGGAGGGAAGGACGGGGGGGGGATGGAGGGAAGGACGGAGGGAGAGAAAGAGAGCGAGCAGAATTGTGCCGTGGGTATGGACAAAGATACGCACTGGGTCTTCAGTGGGTAAAAGAGAAGCAGAAATGCCGAGACCTAGGGAGCAAAGGATTCTGTCAGACTTTGGAAATGGTCAAGAAGCTGCACTTTTCCACATGGTGAAAACCAGTGCCCTTCTTCCAGAAGCCCCTCCAGGGAGATCAGTGGGGTGCCAGAGGAACTCCTGGCCCTACCAAGATTCCTATCCCCTAAGTACTGCAAAGCATCTACAAGAACTGATGTATTTTAGGCAGCAGTCACGGTAACTGAGAGGCACTCGAGACCAGAGAGATTGACCTGGGATGCTTTCTCACCTAAGGCCTCTTATGTCTTCCTTCTGAGAAAGAATGCAACACACATGGAAACAGACTTAGCTTCCCAGCTCTCAGACAGGTTTAGAAAGAGGAAGATGGATATATCTTCCCATTCAACGTTTTGGAATAAAGATCTGTATTTCTCTATATACATAGGAAGGTTCAGTGGTTTATAAAATGTGTATATATGAGTGAAGGTGACACTGATATTTGGCATTTTATTTATATCCTTTGGTAGTTCCTTTAACTCTTACAATAATTACATTTTGCTGAAACAATCTTCCCTCTGCACAAAGTAAATCATATATTAATAAATAGCCTCTACTAGTTGGTAGAAATGCTGTAGGTAATGTTTGAAAAATAGGTGTATATGAATGGGAAGAAAAAAGATAAATAGGATAAAGCAATATACAAATACGTTATAGAAGCGAGATAACACACCTTAAATTTTAATTTGTTGAATTTCATGTTTAATTTATACAAGGATTTTTAATTTATATACAATATTCTAGACATTATAATAAGAAATATTTTATCAGAATTAGACATTTTAAAAACCTAGAAAGATTTAAGAGAAAAATACCTAATTCCATGACTATCACTTGGTGCCTCAACACTCCTCATACCCACGTTCCCTACCCTTTAAAAACCCAGAATCCCAAGCAGTGTGACTGACAAAAACTTAAGATCATTTTCATATTTATATAAAAGTTCCTATCTTTTTAAAAACTCAGTTAAGAGGCTGCTACATTAGCAATAGCTCATCATTTATGACTCTTTGGAGGATCTAGGTTTAATTCTCAGCACACACATGCTGACTAAGAACTGTCTGTAATTCCAGTTCAGAGACATCCAGGCAAAACATAATGCAGACAAAACACCCAGATGCATAGACCAAGGAAAGCTCAGCAGGGTGCTGTTGAGAGGAGGGAGTGTGATAAAAACCTCCTCCTATCCAGTAGGAGAGACCCAAGGAACAGAAGAAAGTTCTGAGCTGATTCTATTAGGAGGGGCATGAATCTACGGCTCACTTTGCAATTAAAATCTGCATGGCTTTTTTATGATTATATATCCCATAATTAAAAAAAAACCTAAAGATACTAAAAATGCCTAGCACAGTATGGATTAGGGCAGATCAGCCACTATAAGACTTTGAATACAAGAGGAAGATACTTTTCTTTTGGTAAATACCAGTCAGTTTATAAATAAACTTTCCTCATTAAGATATGAATGCTAATGAAAACAAGCCTTACAAGTCACACAAAGCCCTACAGCCCAAGGTAAAAGGTGCATTGTCTTTTAGAACAGCAGATGCGCATACCTCGGGAAAAGATTTGTTATTGAAAGAAAAATTTCAGGAAACATCTGTTGGTTCACTCCATAGTACACAATGAAAATTGACCTCTACAAGAGAAAAGCAGAAGGCCTCTGAAGAGAATGTGTACAAGCTACAGTAAAATAGATGGTTAAGAAAATTGTCTGAAATGGGTGAGTGATTGGCCTGCCGCAGAACTGGACCCCTCCCTGCATTCTGTACCCCGTGACCCTTTTTCAGGTCAACTCCATCCTAGCTCCTCCCTAATCCTGCTGATCCTGGGAGGTCCCAGCGGACTTCTACCTCTAAGACTTAGACCACACCACTCACAACTTATTAGTGACCCTCCTGTGGCCTGCCCAGTCTCATCTCAGCACCAGGGCTACTGCTGGTCTCTGTCCCCAACTCCAGAGGAATCCCACAAACTTGGGTATATACTCAGTCAGAAGTGGATATTAGATGTAAAGTAAAGGAGAATCATGCTACAATCCACAGATCCAGAGAGGCTAGGGAACAAGAAGGGCCCAAAGGGGACACATGAAGAGACAGAAGAAATCTCCTGAGTGGAATGGGGGTGGGTGGGACAGGAACTTGGGGATTTGGGTTGTAGAGTGGATAGAGAGGGAGAGTATTAAAAGACATGACTGGAAAGAGGGTCCATTTTGGGGTCAGGTAGAAACCTGGTGCAAAGGAAACTCCCACAAATCTACACAGACCCCAGCAAAGACTCCCAGTGGGGCTGGAGAGATGCTTCAGCGGTTAAGTGAATGGATTGTTCTTCCAGAGGACCTGGGTTCAATTCCCAGCACTCACAACTGTCTATAACTCCAGTTCTAGGAAATCTGGCACCCTCAAACAGACATACATGCAGGCAAAACACCAATGTACATAAAATAAATACATCTTTCAGAAAAAAGAAGAGAGCCTGTGTTTAGACCTGGTGGTGATGGTGCACGCCTTTAATCCCAGCACTCGGGAGGCAGAGGCAGGCAGATCCCTGTGAGTGAGGACAGCCTTGTCCACAGAACGAGTTCCAAGATAGGCTCCAAAGCTACACAGAGAAACCCTGTCTTGAAAAACAAAACAAACAAAAAAGAATAAGACTCCCAGTAATAGTGGAGAGGTAGCCTGAACTGGCCAACTCCTCTGATCACATTGGTGACCACCCCAATTTTCGTCACACAGTCAGAAGAGAACCTTCACTCAATGACTGATGGAAGCAAATACAGAGATCCACAGCCATTAGGCAGAGCTCAGGGAACACCGTAGAAGAGACAGAGGAAGGATTGTAGGAGCCAGAGGGGTCAAGGACTTCACAAGAAAACTCACAGAAACAACTAACCTAGGCTCACAGGAGCTCATAGAGTATGAACCAACAACCAGGGAGTCTGTACGAAACTAAAAAAGAAAGAAAGAAAGAAAGAAAGAAAGAAAGAAAGAAAGAGAGGAAGGAAGGAAGGAAAAAAGAAAGGAAGGAAGGAAGGAAGGAAGAAAGAAAAGAAAGAAAGAAAGAAAGAAGGAAAGAAAGAAAGGAAGAAAGAAAATTAGCTGAAGGCAGGACCCGGTGGCACTCCCCTTTAAATGCCAGCACTGCAGAGGCAGTTGTGGGATGTAAAGATTATACCTGAGGAACAGGCTACACACACAACTTACAGTATAGTCTAAGTCCATTGTGGAATTATTACAGCAAACAACAAACTGTATTACCACCATGGAGCTGTGCATGCCAAACCATCTGATCATCAGAAGTTTGGGGACAGTAAGGGAACAGGACTAAACAGAAGCCAG